TTTCATCACCATCGACAACCGATTCGGCAGCTTCGCCGCAATCTATCGTCGGGGATTCGACGTCATGGTCAAGACTTGATGAGCTCGACCCGTTGTTGTTCACGGACTTCCAGTGGATGCCCGTTCCCTCGACCGGACGATTGCCGAAACCGCATTGCAACGTGCTTATGGCACAATTGCGGGACTACTTGCACACTGCAGTACCAGCTCCGTTGATGGACGCCGGAGCAGAGGTTGTCGACCTTCACGCTTTCATCGCGAAGATCGACCGCGAGTTCAAGATGCAACGGTACGACGACATCAACGCACTATTGCTATACATACGCATTCAGATCGGAGAGGCGACCTGCAGTGCCTTGATCGATTGCGGAGCATCTCGCAACTACATCAGCTAAGACTTCATGGTACGCGCCGGCCTTGGCCCACGTGTCCGAAGGAAGTCCCAACCTACGCAAGTCACCCTGGCAGACGGTCATACGCACAAGTCCATCGACCGGTGCATTGACGCCGTCCCAGTGTACTTTGCCCCTCACGCAAGTGAGGCGGTGTCCTTTGACATTCTGGACACCAAATTCGACATGATCTTGGGCATGTCATGGCTGTGAAGCAAGGATCACCCGGTGAACTTCTTCAACCGCACCGTTCACGTTCGTGACCGGAACGGAGTATTAGTTTCATGCACGGTGCCTCTTTTTCATCCTTCGATCAACTGTCACGTGGTATCCGCTGCAAGCATGCGAGCTTCCATCATCAGAGACGACATCGAGGAGATGGGGGTGTGTTTTCTCCACGCCCTCCCGCCACATGACGCTTCATCGACGAACTCACCTTCGGATCCACGCATCACCGAACTTCTCRACGCCTACAGCGACGTGTTCGAAGGCCCRCACGGAGTAGTACCGGATCGACCCATCCGCCACGAGATCATCCTCGAGGACAGGGCCGTACCTCCGCGCGGTTGCATCTACCGAATGAGCGAGGAAGAGTTAAGTGTGCTTCGGGCACAACTCGACGACCTTCTAGAGAAAGGTTGGATTCTGCCTAGCTCATCGCCATACGATGCTCCTGTTCTCTTCGTCCGGAAGAAGAACAAGGACCTGCGGTTGTGCATCGATTATCGCAAGCTCAACGCGCAGACGATCAGGAATGCCGACCCTCTCCTACGCATTGACGACCTTCTCCAGCGATTGGGCGGCGCCCAGTTCTTCTCTAAACTGGATCTCAAGTTTGGGTACCACTAACTCGAGATTCGCAAGGAGGATAGCTACAAGACCGCGTTCAAGACTCGGTATGGGCATTTCGAATGGCTGGTCATGCCATTTGGCCTTACGAATGCCCCARCCACTTTCCAAGCGGCTATGACGACGGAGTTCCGACACATGCTGGATCGTTTCGTACTTAT